TAGTCAATTAATGAGGATTAGTTTGGCACCTACAATGTTTAGTCAATTAATGAGGATTAGTTTGGCACCTACAATGTTTAGTCAATTAATGAGGATTAGTTTGGCACCTACAATGTTTAGTCAATTAATGAGGATTAGTTTGGCACCTACAATGTTTAGTCAATTAATGAGGATTAGTTTGGCACCTACAATGTTTAGTCAATTAATGAGGATTAGTTTGGCACCTACAATGTTTAGTCAATTAATGAGGATTAGTTTGGCACCTACAATGTTTAGTCAATTAATGAGGATTAGTTTGGCACCTACAATGTTTAGTCAATTAATGAGGATTAGTTTGGCACCTACAATGTTTAGTCAATTAATGAGGATTAGTTTGGCACCTACAATGTTTAGTCAATTAATGAGGATTAGTTTGGCACCTACAATGTTTAGTCAATTAATGAGGATTAGTTTGGCACCTACAATGTTTAGTCAATTAATGAGGATTAGTTTGGCACCTACAATGTTTAGTCAATTAATGAGGATTAGTTTGGCACCTACAATGTTTAGTCAATTAATGAGGATTAGTTTGGTTGCCTAACTAGGTTGGTTGCCTAACTTGGTTGGTTGCCTAACTTGGGGGGCTTGACTAATGTCTTAGGAACTTGTATATATATGTGTTGATTGTAAGTAATGAAACATAAGTGAAAATCAGAAAATATTCTACAACTCTCATTCTCTCTACACTTTCCACTCTCTACTCTCAATATTCTCTATGTTTTAGCACATGATACATATACATGCCGGTTCCATTGATCTCATCTTCAAACAAACAACATTCAGGTCATTAATCATGCAATGGATTTCCTAACAACAATAATTGACAAGAAAAATGGCACAAGGGATCCCGAGCCTCTACACATCACTTCAACAATAATTGAAATCTAATGGCTTGTATTGTTTTTAACTCAAATGATGTTATGCCATTTGCATAAAATATTGCATATCAAAAGCTTCTACATAACCAACCACCTATTCATCTTGCCAATGTTTTAAGTAATTTGAATGCAAGCAGACCATAACACAATCTCACTCATGTGAGTAAGCGAGCACTTCACAAGACAGTGGGCAAAAAGTGGAACTTGCCTATGTACAAATACGAGTTAGAAGACTGAGCAGACGCACAGTTTTATAAACAAATCACAGAGGAACTGAAAAAGGAAAATTACATTTCAACCGTCGATAGTTATAAGTTAAAATGAGCGGCCTAGATGTTAAAACCCTTAATAAACCCGCGTATCATATCAATCATATCTGTTTTCCCTTGGTAGAAGAAGGATTGAGAAGGAGGCTGCCTTGCCTTCGTTGAATTTGCCTCCTTCCTTCCTCCATTACTGCAACTGGAAATCTCAACAAGAACAACCCAACCCAAGCTTTAAGGTATGAGAGCCTCCTCTCTTTCAGTCCCTACAGAATTTTTGGTAAAACGAAAAAAGAGCTATGGCTTTTATGCTTTTAGAATCATAAAATCATGGCCCACTCTTGGGTTTTTATTTATTTATCCAGTTCTGTAATTAATTTTAGGGTTTATTTTTCGATAAACTGATCTGGGTAATTGTTCAACGACGCTTGAAGAATGTCAATTTAGGATTTTGGAGCTTCAATTTAGGATTTTGAAGGTTTATCTTTTTGCTGAGGATGATGAGCACCCTTCAGATTACTTCCTGCCAACCTTGCAACTACTTCAGAAACACATCTCAATCTCTCCGCCTCTCTTCGAAACCAACAGTAATTCAGCACAAATGCATGGCCGTATTGAAGAACAAGCAATGGAGGGCTGTATCTAAGTACCACCAATCTGCTGGACCTGTCTGCTTATTGGGTGGCAAGGGAAAGAATGAAAGTGGTGGTGGTGATGAGGTAAGAGACCTTTCAGCAAGTCCCTCTGCAGGTTACTACAAAATACTTGAATTATATATGCTTCAATTGTGTTCCTTGAAAATGTACTGGAAATTTCATGTGGGAAACTAACTGTCTTCAAAGTTTCTGCCTTTTCTTATTGATATCGATTCAAATGGGTAGCCATCTGATCTGCCCACCTAAATTTTTTTTCTCTTACTGAGGTTTTGGTGCCTTTCCCCTGGAAATTGATTGATCGTTCTGCTCGGTGTCAATTTTTTGCCTTCCATATGCCTAATTGAATGCCAGTTAAATAGTGGTATTGTGCATGATTAGTCATGTAGATCATAAGTTGACTGATAGTTTTATATTCTCATGAGTCTTGTCTTACTCATAAACATCCCTCCCAAATCCTCTTTTCCTAATGGTACTTATTTTTATGTTCTTAACAGAAAAAAGAATTAAGTTTTTAAAGGTTGAAGAAATCTGTACATGGTTCTATGTGTAATGCAAAAGGAAAAAGAACAAAAATACCACGTTCTCCTCTCATGTTTTCTTGTCATCATTGTAACTTTTTTTCCTGGAATTTTTTATGATGCATTATATGTGTAAGATTATTAATTTTACCATGTTCTTTTCTCGATTTTTGCTCATCATAGTCAAATATATTGAGTAACTGGTGAGGGGCATTGAGGGGATGAATTATTTTGTTTATGATATGGAGACATGGCCCTAATTATAAAATAAGAACAGTTGAAAAGGATATATGCTCATTAACTTCTGCAAGAATCTTTGTAAGCATGCAATGTATTATGGCGAAAATCTCTATTCTCACTGCACTTCTTAATGCAACCAGGGTTCCCCCTGGAAGGCTCTTGAGAAAGCAATGGGTAATTTGAAGAAGGAAGGTTCAATAGAGGATGTATTACGTCAGCAGATTGAAAAGAAGGAATTCTATGAAGAGAGAGGCGGCGGCGGCAGTGGCGGGGGCGGCGGCAGCAGTGGTGATGGTGTAGGTGGCTCTGGTGGATCCGAGGATGAAGGCCTTGATGGAATCTTGGATGAAACACTGCAAGTAATTCTAGCAACCATTGGATTTATTTTTCTGGTAATAATCTCACATTCTCTTGAAGGAGGTGCATGCATTATTATGTCTTTTCTTTTTCTCTTGATTAGGCATTTTCAAGTCTTTCTGTGCAAATTCTGTATCTACAATTCACTATCTGTTAAGCTTGTTGTTTTCTTAGAAGTGTGAGATGAAAGACAAGGCACACACACAATGCACATAAGTGAAAGCATCACACCTAACAGAAAACTGGCTCTTAGCTAATCGTAAAGTATCACTCATTGTTATTGCTCTGCTTGATTACAGCTGCTTATATGAATACTAGCTCCTTGGCACGTGCTTCCTCATGTGGCTAGAGGATTTTCCACTAAACATTCATTGACAATATTGATTCACCTTCAACCTTTGAGTTTTGTTAAAATGCTTGGCCATAGTTTGGATTTTTCTTCCACATTTCTTTGAAATTTACTATGTACCTTAAATCCTGCCTGCTCCTTGTTTGCACCTTTGCTTGCATAAGTGGATGAGAAACCAACTTCCTCTCAAGAATCCATCTCTCCATGCTTAACTTGCTGCGACGTGGTAAAAAGGGGATGCCAAATAACTACTGGAAACAGCCCAAGGAATGCGATGTGGAGCTGGTTTTGTTTTTTGTTTTTTTCTATTTTAATTAATTGTTGTTACAAATTATGTTCTTCTCTTTTCCAAAGCAAGTAAAGAACAACTCTTCTCGTGTTTCTTCAGTCTCTCTCGTGCAATTTTGAAGTCTAGAGTACCTTCTATGGTACGATTCGTAGCTTGGATCATTGCTCATGGGAGGATGAGTACTTGTGATGTGCAAAAATGCTGCCGAAAGCTATCTTTTGCTGCTTCACTGTCTCATTGCTCTGTCTTTGTGGCAGAGATTGTTTAGGGAGTCTAATGTGGCCTTGGATATTCCAGTTTCATGTAAGGCCTTATTGTATGAGAGGTATAAGTTCTTTCAAGAGAGAAAGAGGGGCATGGTGTAGGGAAGATGTGCTGTGATGGTAAATTTTTGGGTCTTGTTGACGGAAAGGAATAGGAGGGCTTTCGTGGAAGCTAGGGGTGAGGAGGTGGATCACTTGTGGGATAGGGTTAGATTTTGAGAGTCTGTTTCTTCAGAGTTCAGAGTTCAGAGATAATTCTTTTCAGGCTTTTTTTTTTTTCATGACTGGAGTTTTGTTGTGCAAAGCCTATCAACTTTAACGTTTTGCAGTAATAGTTATGATGATTCTTATTAGTTGTAGAAAAGATGGCTAGATAACCTCAGTGGAAGTCTTTTCCCCAGTGTTGTACTTTTCATCTTTATAGTAATAAAAGCTTGTTTCTTATCAAAAATAGCACACTCCCCCCTCCTATTGCTATTTTATGATATCAAAATTAGAGAATCTGGGTGATTACTATTTCCTCTAGCCAATATCTATTTACATTTCAAACTGGAATGATTTTCTTGCAGTATTTTTACATCATCAGTGGCGAGGAGTGGACTCGGCTAGCAAAGGACTACCTCAAGTTTGTGTTTTCAGGGTCCAAGAGTATTCGTTTGAATCGTGCCATGTACAAATGGGGAAGGTTCTACAAGCAGCTGACTGAGAAGAAGCAGTATGATAAATTCTGGTTGGAAAAGGCCATAATCACTACCCCAACTTGGTGGGATAGCCCTGAAAAGTACCGCCATATCGTTAGATCTAATTTAGCATCAGATTCAGATGACTAATCCAAGTCGCATTGTATAACCCTTCCCTCTTCCGTGTGCCATTTCCTTTTTATTTTGGAGGATTGTATAAGTTCCCAGTTCTTTTCTTCTTTTTTTGGGTATGAGTTTTCCAGTTTAAAGCCTACATTTTATTGCTACTTTTGACAGTTAAAGAACCGTAAACGATCAAGTTCTTGTTTTTACTGCACAAAATTGGCCCCTGGATTGGATCTCTGCAATTGTATCATAATAGGAATAGCAGTTCAGCCAAAATTTAAGGGTTGATTGCTAGAGAATCAGAATTGATTTTCTTGGATTAAGGTGAATCCGAAGTGAAATTCTTGGGTTGCAAACTGCATGATTGCGAGTATTAATTTGCGTTTGATTTTCTTATGTTTTTTAGTTTTATTCTAAAGGGAGCTGACAGTATATTTGGGCCAACTGAACTAAACAACCACGTGCACATTCTGTACTGTAGTAATTTTTATAATTGACTCGGACATGATCTAACTTGTTGGTCATATTAAACTGAGTCACTAATGTCAAGTTGCCATTTGAAATCAGATTATGAGCAAATTGTTCTTTCTTTTATAAAGATAAAAACATATAAGATATGTATGTAAAATTAACAATTGCGTAAGGATGTTTTGAGACTAGTGAAGAAAAGATCGAATCAATTTTTCTTTTATAAAGATATGAAGTTTAAAAAAAATTAAAATTAAAATATAAAAAAAGTATTTGATAACTTTAATTTTTGTCAAAGCTAGGAAGGAGGGGGATTTACTCACACACTGGAGGGCTAATGCTCTAAATCATTGAATTGGACAAATGGTGGGAAAAAAAAGTGGTTCACGTATGAACTTTTTTCACTTTCAATTGGATGGGCTTTGAAGCAGACTCTGAAGAGAATCCATGGCGTCAATAAGCGAACGAAGAGTTGAATGGTGAGCCGAAAAACAAAAACAAAAACCCTCCTGAGAAAAAATTTTAAAAATAATTGAGTGATTTTCGGATTCTATTCTGGGGTAATTTCAATTTTTAACGTGATTTAAACTTTCCTATAGAAGGAAGGTAAACACACCAAGGTAGGGGAGATGAGCAAAAATGCTCTCTACCCCCCAAAAAAAGTTATCATTTGATAAATAAATAAAATTAGCAAATTAAATAAATCCAATTTATAGACATGCATGTCACAGGAATAACATCATCCAATCATGTTTCGCAAAGTGGAAAAGTTATAACGTGTGGCAGAACGTGATTGTTTGAGATAGCAAAACAATGTTATCCCTGTCATATACAAGTTTTTCTCCTCAAATAGGGGTGTCACGTCAACTACATTTCAAACCAGTAGCATAACGACACACACTCCAATCATCAAATTTATTATATTGAACTCAAGGTGTGTGTTCACCACCCCTGTCAAGTGTTGAGAATTATGATGACCATACACCTTAGGTTAAAGTGGTGAGCAAAAACGCTCCCGAATTGAAAATATCAAGCTCCATTTCATATTTCCAGGTTTTCTCGGCAGTCAAACACCCAAATCCCAGATTAAACACATGAAGCCATTCCACCATTGCCTATATCAAAAGCCTCACTTCATTCTAGCAGTAAAGACACCTACAACAACCCCACCTCAACAAACCCTAAGTTCTCCAAGATCATCTAGGACTTGATGAAATTGAATACTCTTGGTGAAGATTAGCCCCAATTGCAAAATTAAAACAAAAAATGGTTTAATTACTAGGTCGAATAAGAGACTGAGAATTTGATCTCCGAGTATTGAATAGAAAAATGACTGTAAGAAGGTTTGAATGTAAGGAAGATGTGGGAGAGAGATGGCTAGCCTCAATATCAGCATTCTTCATGCTGTATCATATTATGCATTTTGAGGCTCAATTATAGAAACTTGATGCACAATTTTCTCTACCATCCAGCAAGATAAAAACAAACGATATATCTGCAGAAAAATTCATGTTAATTCATCCAAATCATGAAACCATATCGAGCAGAATTAACATCCCATCCTCAGGAGGGCATGTTGACAAAAAATCCATTATGCGCTCAACACCTAAGCCCAAAATTTTGGGAAAAAATCATTAAAGGATGTTACTACTTTTTTTTTCTTTTCCCGTTGCTAAAATTCTAGACAAGTTTACAGGGAAACACGTAAAGAAGTTCCAGTTTAGCGCAGGGGCTGTACAGTGAAGGGGGCTTCTTCACACCCTCTTTGGCTTCTTTGCACCTCCTTTCTTATCTGCTTCTGCAGCCTTCTTCTTTTCCTTCCTGTCCCGCTTCTTTAAAGCTGTCATGTGAGCCTTTAGGACAGTTGCATAAGAAGATTGAAAGCGCTGGTGCTCCTTTGGGCCAACCTTTGCAATGGAATTCCAATTACAGAATGTTAGCCAAATAATCTAACATATAAACCCAAAATCAAGAACTCTTTTGAAATCACACCAAAAAAAGAAAAGGCTTAACTTCCATATAAAAAGATTAGAAAGAGAAATTCAGAAGAAACGTAGTTCAGTTCCTCAAGACACAGGAGCTTTCAGATTTCACCATTGTATTAGGAGTCTGGACTTAAAAAAGTTTTGCTTTTGAGTTGAATGGTTTTTTTAGATGATATGATCTAGACTATAATTTTTTGTTTAATTTCTGGAGTAGAGATATTTTGGCAAATGTAAAAAATAAGAAAATAAAAAGGAGAGAGAAGCAACAGTAATAGTTAGTTTTCCTTGTGGGTTTCAATCTCTTCAAAGAATAAGGAAACCCTAAATATTTCTTGTTTATTCCTGATTGGAGGGCTGTTGTGGTAGAGGTAGGGCTGTTACAGCGTATTATTCATGTTTGATTGTTACTTTCCGGCTTTAGGCTTTACTTAACATCTTGTCTTCTGTTTTTTATGATCGTATGTTTTATCAATTTAAATGAAACCACGTTTCTCATCAAATGAAGAGCCACACCTAATTGCAACAACAAAAGGAGGCAGTTTACAGTCAACACGCTAACTTTAGAACACTTCTAAATTCAAGGCTTAATGTTGAGCACAAATAAGTACAAGGCATCTTACTATGGTAAATAAACCTAAGCCAGAAAACCCATGCACCTAAACACACGATAAGAATCTAATAGCAAATTGTCCCAGTTTTAAATCATATTTTGGTTCATGTTTCATGGAATTACTTTCCATAATAAAGATTTAAACTAAATATTTTTGAAAAGATAAGACCAAGTAATATAATTCAATGGGCAGAAATACATACCGAAGTAGAAATTGTCTTATTCCCAAATGTTGCACGAATAAGGCATCTGTACTCAATTTCTTCCCCAGCAGTTTTCATTTTATTCCTCTGCACCTTAGACTTCAAGGATGCTGAAATAACACAAGATTGAAAACTAATTAGACATTGAAATAAAACGACCCAAATATGCACGAATAACACTAACAAAAAAGAGTAAATCAATATGAAGAAACAATGAAGGAAATTTGTGCACATACATCTTTTGAAGGTAACCCAAACGGAACCCTTCTCGGTGCTCTTCTCAAACATGCTAGTAAGTTCATTTAGAAATGGATCTGGCTGTAGGAGAACCTAAAATCAGAATAAAACGCAATCGTATCAGAATAATCCTCACTCAAAACAATAGAGAAAACTAAAAGAAAAAGAAAAGAATGAGCAACATAGCATCAGGGCATGCACAACATCCTCACTATTAGATAGTGACAGAACCACAAACAACACATTATGCATTCAGCATACGGATTTTGACTAATCAAGATTCCCAAATTTTTATAAATTAGAAACACAATTTATAATATGAATGCACCAACAACAGAATTATTATACTTCAATCTCTTCAACTAAGCCAGTCGCGTATCCATGCATCTCTATTTATTCCAAAAGAATCAGTCAACTATGACCAAACCTAGAATGCGCAAATAGCCCTTAATTCCAGGCCTCAACACGTCTCAACTCAAAGAACTTGATCACCGTCCAAACACCCAAAACAGAAAAATTGAAGGAAACTATATATATATATATATATATATATATATATATATATATATATATATATATATATATATATATATATATATATATATATATATATATATATATATATATATATATATATATATATATATATATATATATATATATATATATATATATATATATATATATATATATATATATATATATATATATATATATATATATTATATTATATGTATATATATATATTATATTATATGTATATATATATATTATATTATATGTATATATGGACTTGTTAACTGAACCAATAGAAGGAGAAAGAGAAATTGAACATACCATCTTGACAGCGGAGAGCCTTTTCCTTCTTCTTCTTCCGATACAGTCAGACCACCACGTCCCGATCAGCGGTTTTGTGTTGGGAGCTATGTAAAGCCCAGAGGCGCAAGAGGCTGCTTATATACCCTGAACAAGTTGGGTCGAATTACCCCTTTTAACCTTGCAAAGGCGGTGTTATTACGGCAACGGGCTTTTTCTTAGGCGAAGACATTCTAATGGGCTTTTACTTGTTTCCCACAAGTGGGCCCACCCTCTTTTGTTTTTTTTTTTGGTTGCGCTTTTTCTTAGTAAATGACTTGTTTAGGAAGAACTTATGTTATTTTATATTTTCATATTTGTTTCATTCTTCCTTTTTTTAAGTTTTTGTTTTATTTAATTATGTATTCTTAGCGGGGTTATTCAATTAAAATTTTAATGTATTTTAAAGAAGTCTATGGATTTCATTTCGACTTTCATAAACTCAATATATACTTTGATTGAATTTCATATGAATTTTGATGAAATTTGTTAAAATCTTACCAAAGAGTTCGATTAATTTTTATAAACTTCAATAAATTCTCTTGTACTTTTAGCGGTTCTTTTAATAAGCATCTCCACTAATTCCAAATTTATAATATTCGAAAGGGTAAATTACTCAAATGGTCCTCAAACTTATACTTGATTTACATTTTGGTATCTCAATTAAATTATTCGTTCAAATGGTCCATAAACTCTATAGTAATCACTCCATTGATCCTACCGTTACATTCTACCAATGTTGCCGTTAAATATGAGGGTAAATTGGTCATTTTGTACGTTAAAAATAAATAAATACTAAAA